CTCATCTCTTCCCTCATCCTTGGACCCCTGTGACCACTGTCACAGCCCCCTTCCCCCTGCAGGGCCACAGCAATGCTGAAAACCTCACCTAAGCAAACCCTGAGGTTTTTTAATTTATTCAGCCAGGACAGAGCTCACTGTCCTGCCCCTCATCCACCGTTAGTGAAATTAATTCAGCTCTGGGTGTGTTGTTAATGTCTGTCTGAGCCTGCTGTGGTTGTTCCCCAGGACATCGTGTCAGCCTTGGAGGATCGCCTGCGGCCCCTGGTCCAGGCAGAGCTGTCCGTGCTGGTGGATGTGCTCCACAGGCCTGAGCTGCTCTTCCCAGAGAACACGGATGCCAGGAGGAAATGTGAAAGTGGAGGTTTCATTTGCAAGTAAGTTTTCTTAGAAGTCTGGCTTGTTTTGTTTTTTTCCAATTTTGTGCCCTGTGGAATGGAGCCCTCTTACCCAGCTTGGTAAGTATTTGAGATCCTCTGAAATATCTGTAAAAAATCATTATTTGTGATATGGTCATGGCAATTTGTCCTTGGTGGGGGAGAAAATAAGCTTGTGGGAATGGGGGAAAGACTGGTTGATGTGTTCTCCCAACGAATGCTTCAAATGTCTGTTTGCTGCACGATGCAAATATCCTGAGCAGTTGTACAAATGAGTTAGAGTTTGAGCTGAGCAGTTATTGATACTTATTATTGTATCTTATTTTGGTTTATGTATTTTGATAGTTATTGATACTTATTATAGTTATTGATCACATATGATGATGCCCATGACAACAGCTGATCCTGGTGTATTCACCCAGCACCTCGGGAACATTCCTTCACCCCAGGCATGTTCCCGAGGTGCTGGGTGAATACACCAGGATCAGCTGTTGTCATGGGCATCACCAGCGCTGGAGGGAAGGAAAGGGGAGATTGCAGGGGCTTTTAGAGGGCAAATTGAGAGCAGATCCCCTCACCTCCTGTAGGGTGGGCTCTGTGCAGAGGTGGTGGAAGCTGGGCACTGAGTCCCAAGTGCTGGGTGGTTTGGATTTGGGGCTGCACCCTCCAGGGCTCTCAGTCTGTTTTTAACCAGGTGGAATAGATCTCCCACTGTTAACTGGCTGTTCTGGAGCACCACCATGCCCTGGATCCCACTGATTCCTTGCTGCCTGCAGCCAGAGGGGTTTTTGGCTCTTTTCCTGCCCACAGCTTCCCCTGGTAGCTGTCAGGTGTTGCTCTGGAGAGGAGGCTCCAGCATGGGTGTGTAGCAGTATGATGATAAACCTTGTTTGCAGCATAAACCAGTGCAGATAAGCACATATATCTTACCCCATTTTTAGAATATTTGCACTAACCTGATTGATGGCTTTTTTCAGGTTAATTAAGCACACAAAGCAGCTGCTGGAGGAGAATGAGGAGAAACTGTGTATTAAGGTATTGCAGACGCTCAGGGAAATGATGACCAAAGATAGAGGCTATGGAGAAAAGGTAAGGTGCAATCCAGCATTCTGTTAAACACTGCCTTTATTCGGTCAAGGAAAACAAAACAACTGCTTTTTTGAGCTGTTTTGTATGTGTAAGCACTCCTAGGCTGGAGCAGGGACAAAACATTTTTAGTCAACTAATACCTTTCAAATCATATTTGAAGTTAAGCCTGTTTCTGCTGCTTTTCTTCTTGAGACTGGCAAGGTTAAGTCTAATCCCCGCAGTTGCTGGCACTCTAAAATATCAGTTTTGTTACCTTTTCCTGAAGGCTGTAACATCTTTATTTGATTCTCAGGTCTAGGTGACTCTTCAGGTCATGCAGCCTTGCAACAAGAGGGTGTTTTGTAGCTAATTTGAATTTGTGTACAACTGAGTAATCTTGTTGTGGTTTATAGATGGAAACTCTGTACACCCACCCGTGTTTCTTCTTTCCCTTTCCTACATACAACTCTTGCCTGCTTGAGAGCAACATTTTTCTGTAGGTACAGACCTATTCTTTATTCCATCAGGACAGTGTGTGCGCTCCCATATGTTTGTGTTTCTAGAAGTGGTTGCAGTCAGCTGAGACTGGGATTTGGAGATTCTCCTGGAATTCCCATGGCACCCGGTGGGAGCAGCTGGGATGGGGCAGGGGCTCTGTGGCTGTGCCCAGGAGCAGGGGGTGTCTCAGCCCAGTTCTCCCCCACAGAAGGGTTTGGAGCTGCTGCTCATGCCCAATTCCCAGCAGAAAGGGCAAAAACCTCAGAGTCTGAGAACAGCAGGCATGGTTTGTAGCAGCTGCCAGGGGGGAGATGCTCCACAGGCAGAGGAACCTGCAGCATCCTGGGCCCTGGCAATGTCAGCAGGAGGCAGGAGCAGGCCGTGGTGCCAGGGCTGAGCCTGGCACACGTGGGTGTGCACGTGTGGCTGCTCCCAGCACACCCAGGCAGTGCCAGGGATGGGAGGCTCCCAGGGAAATGCCCTCAGGGCAGGGATGGCCAGGGCTGTGCTCCCTGCCCTGCCCTGCCAGCCCTACCCAGCTGGGCACTGCCTCCCTGGGCAGCAGCCGTGGTTTGAGGGAATTCCCTGGGAAAGCAGCACATGCTGTGGGATGGGGAGGGAGCAGGGCAGGGCACAGGTGTCACCTTGGGGCACACTGTCCTCTGCCCAAGTGGCTGAATCCTGTGCTGGGGCATCACCCTCTGTGCCCTCCTCAAGGTCCCTTCTCTGAGGCATCCCAGCTGGAAGGGGCTGCCTGTGGCCAGGCTGCTCCTGGGAAAGGACTGCTGATCCTCTAATGGGTGCTGCTATTTCCTGGTGAGGAACAGACTCAGTGTAAGCACAGATCACATCTTCTCTAGCACATCAGTGTGTCCTTTCCTGTCAGAGCAGCCAGGAGCCACTGTCAAGGTCACCTCAAGTAATAAAAGCAGTGTGTGATGCATGTTGTGTGTAATAAACACCAGTGAAACCCAATCAGAGCTTTGAGAGTTTCCCTTAAATGTAATTTGCCACTGAGAGATTTTCCAAAATGGAAATTCATTTCTAGGAGTTTCTTAGGCTTCATTCAGCTAACTTGGATGAAGCAGTATTTCTAGAAGCTGCAGTTAACATACCTTGCACCATTCAGACCATGGAGAACCCCACAAGGTGCTAAAAAATCTTCCAAGTGTGGCAGAAGCATTGATTGCTGAAGCAGTGGCTCAGTTACATAAGGAGCCAGGATATGCCTGCCTGTGAAGTGATTTCTGAGTCGGAAGGAGCAGCTGATTGCTCACAGATAGACTGTCAGTAGTAGTAGAACAGCTTTTGCTGTCTGGCTGGGAGCACTGCAGTGGGGTTTATTCTCCCTTGTGACTCAGAGAACTGAATTTAGTCACCACCTAAAAGGTAGCACCTTTTGTTTTTAAAATCATCCTGTAGTGTAGCAAAAAAAAGAGAAGGAAAAACCCCTCTTATATTGTAAAAACCCTGCTGTAAATCCTGGAGTCCCTGCCTAGAGGTGCTTCCATCCATGGAGGTGCAGAGCTCACCCTTGTGAGCTGTTTATTGACCTCAAGCATAGAACCAGGGAAAGGCTTGGCTTGGAAGGGACCTTAAAGATGACCCAGTTCCCTCCCTGCCTTGTGCAGGGACACCTTCCACAGCCCAGCCTGGCCCTGAAGCCTTGCAGGGCTGGGGCAGCCATCCCTGCTGTCTCTGGGCAGCCTGTGCCAGGCCTCCCCACCTGGACAGGGCAGGATTCCCTCCTGAGAGCCCCTTAAAGCCTGGCAGTGCAGAGCTGGCATCCCTGTCAGGATTTTAATAGGGCAGGATTCCTTCCTGAGAGCCCCTTAAACCCTGGCAGTGCAGAGCTGGCATCCCTGTCAGGATTTTAATAGGGCAGGGTTCCTTCCTGAGAGCCCCTTTAGACCCCTGGCAGTGCAGAGCTGGCATCCCTGTCAGGATTCCTGATAGGGAAGGATTCCATCCTGAGAGCCCCTTTAGACCCCTGGCAGTGCAGAGCTGGCATCCCTGTCCTGTCCCTGTGCCAGGGCTCTCAGCTGTCCCTCCCCACCCGTGTCCAGAGCTCTGGGCAGGTTCTGGCAGTGCCTTGGTCCTGCTGCAGCCCCTGTGGTGCCCTCAGGAGCAGCCTGCCTTCCATAAGGATGTGCGGGCTCCTCCTGGGCTGTGGCTCTCCCAGCCCACAGATGCCCTCGCCCTGCTGGCCCTGAGCAGTGCAGGGGGACACGGGTGTGCTCCTGTCACCCCGAGCCCTGCTCCCACAGCTGGGGCTCCTCAGCAGCCAGCAGACCCCGTGGGCAGAGCACAGATGCACAGGAGCCTGTGGGAAGGCTGAAATTTTTCCATATTGCTGCAGACTCCTCGCTTGGCACGCGCTCAGGATGGCTCAGTGACGGGGAGCATACTGTGCGGTATTTAATAGGCACAAAACTGCTCCACATTGACAGTGTAGGCTAGACCCAAGTTTTTCACTGTGCTGAAACATGTCATTCATGCACGTCTCCCCGGGTGCCTAGCAGCTGACTCGCCTCAGCTCCGCAGGGCTCAGATTGGGGAGCTCCATTTTCCCTCCCAGAGTGGAAATGCAGCCCCTGAGCTGCTGCTGCTCTGCTCGGGGCTCGTGACGCTCCCGTGCCCAAGGGTGAAGTCCTTGGCTCCGGGTCAGGCAGCCCACGTGGGCTGTCCCTGGCACAGGAACAAAGCCAGGGTACATCCTGCCTCCCAAGCTGCCTGGCACAGCAGTGGCTGTTCCCTAACCCAGAGCTGGCAGATGTTCCTCGTGCCCACTGCAGAAATAATGTTGGATTGCAGCATTCAAGTGTTAAATGATTTATAAGATCCTTACATGAAATTTATGTTTCTTTTCTCTTACTAATCCTTGCTTTCAATTCTTCCCCTTCTTTCTTTCCCAGCAGATTACCATTGAATTGGATAATGCTGAGGTTTTAATTTTATTTCTCTTCTCCAGTGTTGTTTCTATGGTGTTTGTTTTACCAGTAGCCCTGTGATCTGTCCTGTCTCTGCAGCACTGAGCGTTCTGATTTGTGTGCCTGTGTCAGTGAATTAGTGGAGTTCTCGGTCTGCTGTGTGTCTATCCTGGGAATAGTTACCATAACTAATTCCACATGTCATTTCTTGCAATATTAATCCAGATGGAGAGTTATCATTTTTGGTAGTCTGCAATCAGCTGGTGCCATGGTAGATCCTGTGAACTTTAGGATCAGATCTGGAGGGTGAACTGCTCTGAGCAGTCAGCATTTAGCACTTGGCCACCATTCCTGTGTCATATGTGGAGGGGTTATTTCTTATTTGGAAAGCCAAATAGTGAGCTTTAATGGTGTCCTTGAAGGAGCTGGAGGGAGGTGGGTGCAGGTGGGACTGGGAAGGGGCATAAATTGTGTAGGATTTGTGTTCCCAAGAAGGGGCAGTGACAGTGCTGCAGCTCGTGAGAGCCTTGCAGTGCCCTGGCTGTGCCCCAGTGGGGTGGGTGGTGTGGAGCCCTGAGGAATCAGTGATTTGGGAAGCTGTTTGTGGGTGAAAAGCCCCGTTTGAGGGAAAACTTGGAGCTGAGCTGACGTGGAGCTTTCCAAGGACTCTGACGAGCCTGGAGTCTGGTCAGGGCAGGGCGGAGGGAGCTGAGCTGCCTCTGCTCTGCAACTTCCTCATCAGCTCAAAAAAACCCTGGTGTGGGTGTGGAATTTGCATAAATGTATAATACTGAGAAAGTGATTGACTGGCACCTTATTTTACTGAAATACCACGGAAAAAAGAAATATTTTCCTCTCAGTGCTTTGTTTCCTGTGTTCTCTCCCAAGCCAGCCTTTTATTTGGAGCAAAGCTCAACCACTTAAAATGTCTAAAGCATTTCTGACCTTTATTTAGTGGAGTAGGTCATGAAATCTGCAGAAAGCAATTTACGGTGTGGCTTGTTGATTTTGATGTTAACCACCTGAATTCACTGGGTAAACTTCATTCTGAAAATGAAATATTTGGGGACCTTGCCTGGTGAAATGGATTTGAAAGCCAAACTGTTTATCACTAAAGTGGGCAAATAATGTGCACATTACCCAAGGCTGGGCTGGACAGTGTTTTCTGTTTGGGGGGATTTTAGGGCTGGAACTGAAGGTCCCTTCCCTAAGAAACAGGTTTCCCATCACTGCTTTTGGCCCAGAGTCTGATTTTGACCTGAAAGGCAAATTTCTTGTTGCACAAGTTCATTTACTGCCGTGCCATCACCTCTGAGCTGTGCTGGGGTGAGATCTCAGGTGTGTCCCCATGCTCCACACACACTCCTGGCATTACAGAGGTGCTCTGCTGTCTGTTTCTCTTTGTTTTTTTTTGTTAATAAACCCATTTTTCCCCTTTCAACCTGGGGCATAGACCCCAGCAGCCTGCTCTGGTTTCCAGAAGTTAACCTGTAGCACAGAAATGCTTCCACCAGGCCAGGTCCTTTGGATGATGTGCTGCTGCAGCTTCCCAGAATAGCACGTGTGTGTATATGTATAATTTTAGCTTGGAGAAACTTCAGAGAGAAAGTTGAATTGTTTAATTGCAAATTAAGTCATAATGTGAAACTCTTTTCCCTTTGGTTTCTGGCTGTGATGTGCTGTCTTTGCCTGCAGTAAATCAGCCAGAGCGTGCAGAACAATTTAGGATTTGGTCTGGAGGCTGCAAAGGAGGAATTTTATTGCCCCTTAATGGAGCAAGTGCATGGAAGGAGCAGGTGTGTGTGTAAGCATCAGCACTGAGCACTGGCTGCACAGGGAAGGGATTCAGATGGAGCTGGAACCACTGGCAAGTCTCAAATCCTGGGATTTTCTGGTTTCCTTTTTTGCCCCCTTGTCAGCCCTGGAAACTGTAAACATTTAGGGCAAAGAATACAAAACTCTGCATTATTAGTAAAATTATTGACTTGCTTTTCTGTCAAGACTATGCACACTTGAGATGTTCTGATCAGCTGAAATGCTCCTCATTCCCTCAGGGAATGCTCCACTGAAGTAACTGTTGATGGCTTGATTTCATGGTGGAATTTTATGTAGGTTGAGTTATCTTAGTTGTGTCCTGCAAGGTAATCCCAGCGAGCAGTGGGTCTCAAAAACAAAGGATATAAAAACCACCAGGAGATCTGTGTTTGTTAGTGAAAATCATGACAGAAAGTCAGGAAAGACCCTCTTTGGAGTGTCCTTTGGAAGTGGGTGAATAATGCTGGAATTCACCCAGTGGCAGGAAATCCCCTGAGTGTGGGGCTGGCACCAGCCCTGGACAATTCTGGGCTGAGCTTGGGGGCTTTGGGTGCTGGAGGAGTGGAGAGGAGGGGAACAGCAGAGGTGGTGCTGTTGTCCTAACTCACACTTTTATTGAGGGTTTATGTGCAATTCCCTTTGTGCTGGAAAGGAAGGGACTGGGACGAGCTGCAGTTTTCCAAGGAGAAGCAGTGGAGCATTGATAGAAAGCCCAAACCATGAGTCCCACCACACTGGCACCACGGCTGTGTTGGTTCCCTCCTGGTTTGGGGGGTTGTGAGCTCAGAGCTGGCCTTTGGGTTGTGCTGTGGCTGCTCTGTGCCTCTCCTGGAGCGTGGGGTGGGAGCAGGAGCTGAAGGGCTCAGCGGGCGTGTGTGACGTGGGCTCTGTGCAGGTGTCTCAGGTGAGAAAGCCAAAACCCCAAGGCAGGGCATTGTCCTTAGAAGCCCTTGGGCTGAGTCTCTGTTGTGGCCTCCTTCCTGGGCTGGAGCTGCCCTAATCCTGTTCCTGATGGAGCCTTGCTGCTGTCTCCGGGAAGAGCTTTGGGGCCAAGGTGAATTCTTGCAGCAAGTGTGAATCCTCACACAACAGCAAGAGCTAAACCCTGCTTGTAATTGCACACAACAGCTTAATGTGCTGTTAATGCAATCCTCAGCCCACTGAGGAGTGCGGGCGTGATGCAAATGCAGATTTGCTGCTGTTGCACGCTGAGCTGCACCGTGGGCTCCCTGTGCTCCAGCCCAGCTCTGGGAAAGGTTCCTGTCCTTCCTCCCGGCCAGGGCTGCCCTTTGGGGACACCGTGGCCCAGTTTCCACCTGAAGTGCGAGTCCTGGCTGCTGAAACAGCCCTGTGCTGGAGGAGCCATGGGTGTTTGCTGGCCTGGCAGGCAGGGCCCGTCGGGGCTGACCTGCAGGTGGCACGCGCAGGATGCCGATTGCGCTGGGAGATGGCCTACTTTGCTTTTTGTTTTTTTTATATTCCTTTTTCCCCTCCCAGCCACATTGCAGTGAGCTGTTCCGCTGGGCACCTGCCAACATTCAGGCAGCAGTTACATAAGAAGAGCTTTTTTTCCTGGAATTTAGGCCCGCTGCTGATGTGTGACCTTCAGCAGTAATTGCCAATAAAGGCGCTGGGGATGTTTACAGGCACCGCGCTGGCCCGCGGCCCGCGCCGGTAGCGCCGAGCTGGGCTGGGCTCTGCTCCCCGGCTGACCCCTCTGCACTGCAGCTCAAATTCCAGGGTGAAATGGGGGTGCTTTGCTTCCCCTCAGTCTGATTTCACTCCACTGCAGCTCTCTTCCAATTTCCAGGGTGAAATGGGGTGCTCTGCTTCCCCCAGCCTGACCCCTCTGCACTGCAGCTCAAATTCCACACTGAAATGGGGTGCTCTGCTGCTCCCCAGCCTGACCCCACTGCACTGCAGCTCAAATTCCAGGGTGAAATGGGGTGCTCTGCTTCCCCCAGCCTGACCCCTCTGCACTGCAGCTCAAATTCCAGGGTGAAATGGGGTGCTCTGCTGCTCCCCAGCTGACCCCACACCACTGCAGCTATAGCTCAAATTCCAGGGTGAAATGGGGGTGCTTTGCTTCCCCTCAGTCTGATTTCACTCCACTGCAGCTCTCTTCCAATTTCCAGGGTGAAATGGGGTGCTCTGCTGCTCCCCAGCTGACCCCACACCACTGCAGCTCTGTTTCATTCTCCAGGGTGAAATGAGGGTGCTTTTCTTCCCCTCAGCCTGACCCCCCTCCACTGCAGCTATATTCCAATTTCCATGGTGAAATGGGGGTGCTCTGCTGTTTCTGGAGTATGGGCCAGCAGCCACTCAACCAAACCCAGCACGGAGTTTCCCTTGTATTATTTATTTGTTAGGGTTGTGTTGGTGTTTTATCTGTTTTTTTCAGCAGTGGCACTTCTTTATGCAGCTGATTTATCTACAGGCAGCTCTATCCAGTAAAATGCACTTGCAGACCCACTCAGTAGAGTTTAGGTTTGGGGTTTTTTCACCTCTTTGCATTAGTCTTGAGGTTTCAAGTAGGTGGAAAGGGAACTGAAAATTCTGGTTCGGAGGGGTTGCCTGAATTAACCTTTTCCCTGCTCTTTACTATGATAAACTAAAATTCCAGTGTCTAAGGTGCAAAATATGTGCTGTTTTATGCATTTTTGATTGGAGTTAGGAAGTGTATTAACCTCTTCAGAGCTGCAAAGCTGCACTCGGGAATTATTTTCCTCGTGGAGATCTTACTCTGCAGTCATTTCTCTTGTGTATTTTGCACTTAGACAGTGCTTCACTTGTTATGTCTCAAGCAGAGGAAATGCAGGCACTCATAAATTTTTGCGGGCTGCCTTATATTTTTTTTTTCCCCTTGAGAAATCCTGCGATCTTTGGACAGGGCTTTTTTTTTTTTAGACACAGGCTGGAATTGGTGAACTCCTTGGAAAAGGAGGCTGGAACATTTCTTACAGTTAGTTGTCACCAAAAAAAATAGTAGTTATTCCATCTTACTGCTAATTAAAACTGCTGCTGTCAAATGTGTTGTGAAGGCAGCTCTCAGTGCATTCAGCAGAAGTCCTACAAGACAGAGGACTGAAAGAGGAGGAAGTGCTTGAACTCAGAGTGAAGGGCAGACACTGATGTCTCCAGCTCCTGGAAAGTCCCAGCCCGAGTTAAAACATGATTTCTCCACTGAAAACTCTGGAGAATGAGGGAAGGCATTCCCCTAGGTAGATCTTGGTGCCCTCGGGGTGCAGGCACTGGCAGCCCCTGTGGCAGATCTGCCTCCTCCTCAGCTGGCAGTGCCCAGATCCCTGGGGAGGGATGTTCAGCCGTGTCCCTGCCCTGGGTGTGTGACAGGGCTGGGGGGCTGCTCCTGCCCCCAAAATCCCATGTGTCTTATGGGGAGCCTGTGCCAGAACAAGGTGCTGCCCCACATCTCCTGATTTAGGCAGGGCTGAGATCCGCCATCCCTGAAAATGCAACGTGGGAAGTTTGTCAAAGCAGTTCAGTGCTCCTGGGCCCCAGTTATTCCCCTCTGCCCTGAAACTTCTCCATAACAAGTCAAATGCTGTTTGACAAACACCTACAGATCATCTGCAGGGGCTAGAAATTTCCTATCCAAATTTCTCCTCAGCTCCACAAGGTAACAGTGTTGGCTTTACAAAGGGGACTTGGCAAGGAGGCTGCACAGAGTTTTGTGGTATTTTTAAAGAGTTATGAAGGACAGCAACATAATTTGTGCTCTAGTCTGTTGCCACGAATCAGACAAGGTGATGCTTTTGCTGTGTGCCTTTCAAGGAAGAGCTGATGGTATTTCAAAGGGGAGAACAGAGAAATTCAGAGAAAGGAGGAAAAAGTGGAAAGGGACTTGCAGGATTCAATCTGAGCAGCCATTCCCACTGGAATTCCAGCTCCTGCTGAAAATGGCAATGCAGGAGCTGAGGCAGAGGCTTCAGAATAACATTTATCTGAAATCTTCACTCTGGTTCCTCGCATCTGGATGTACAACCTGGCTATCAAAGGCTTAATGTGCAATTTGGCTGACTCTGCAGTTGTATTTTCCTTTTTTATTTCCTCCTCTCTGCCAAATGTCTCCCCTTGCCACCCCAGTAATGAGATGCCATATGCAGGGAGTTGGGTCAGTTCCTGAATTCACAGATTTTGGGGCCAGAAGGCACCTCTCAGTGATGGAGCCTGGACCAGAAGGGACCTCTCAGTGATGGAACCTGCCTTCCTGCACAGCCCAGGGCATCCCATTCCTCACCACTGTCTGTCCATGGAGCCAAATCCATGGAGCTGGGCTCAGCTTCCTCAGTGCTGAGCTCAGGGACCTCCCAGGACAGGAGAGAGGATGTTTGGAGAGACCTGGAGGAATTGTGTGGAGGTTTGGAAAATGTCATCAGTTCAGCAGGCTGAGGTTTGTCACCTCTGGGGCAGCCTGAAGTGTAGGAGATTGGAATTGTGCTGGTTTGTCCATTATTTTGTCAGAATTCCAAAGTCTGGTGAGGTTGAAGAGAAGAGGACCAGGTTTTTGAATGGTGTTTGTGTGTGGTCACACAAATGTGAGTTTCCTGATCAGAAGATTTCCCTCTCATTAACTACAATGTGAGTGTTTTCCAGCCTGTTTTGCTGCAGCCACTCTCTGGAGCAGCCCCAGTCTGTGAACTGGAATCTCCACCAGCCTCTAAATGCACTTCAGGCCTTTTCACTGCTCTGTGGTCTGGGTGTTCACTGGACGGTTGGGGTAAAAAAGTGGAGAAAAGCAATTCTGATGCTTCAAATTTGAATGAAAGTCTGTCTGCTTTTCCTCCAACCTTCTCTACTCTATCACAGCAGTAGTTTGAATTTTCTCTGAAGGAAAGATTAGGCTGCTTCCATTGTGATTGTTATTTTGAAAGCAAATGAGACCAAAACTTTGAAGAATTCCTCCAAACTGCAAAGGAAGAGGACGGAAAGCTCATCTGTATCTCAGCCATTGAACTCAGCCTGGAGCTGTCACGTGCCCTGGTGGTTTTTGAGGGCCACACATCCCCTCGTGAGTCAGACAGTCTGTTCTGGGAAGCACACGTGGCCTGAGCTGGGGAAGTGCTGCTGGAAGCGCTGCGGTCACCAGCGGGTCAGGGATTGTGCATCTCCTGCCCTCAGGGCTCATCAGGAGCTGTATTGGCCAGCCTTGGGGGAGTGGAAGCTTCAAAGGAACAGAGAGGGTTTTGCTCAGCAAGCTGGAAGGACCTTTCCCTCCTGCCTGTAGAAAGCACAGATGTTGGGCTCCGACCTGGCCACCCACTGGGTTTGAAGCTGCCCACTGTGTCCTGCTGAGCACTGCCTGTGTTTGGTACTCCAAAACCTGCCCCTGCCCCCCAAACCATCCCTGTCCTATAGCTGCAGAGCTGAAATCTAGGGAGGCACAAGAAACCTTGGAAAATGATTGCTCTGGGCTGCTCTCCCACCCTGTTCCATCCTTGTAAAGCATAAGGTGATGTTTTGCTGTTGCAGCACACACAGGAGAGTGCAAAGTGTAGCACAGCAACAAGAGCTCAATAATTCTTTGCTGTTTGACCCCGTTTTGACTCAAAGAATAACAGTTTCAGGATTTGGGGTTTATGTTCTTACTGGAAGATGGCAGAGGCTGTGTTGCTGTGGGTGATCCTCGTGGGCATTGCCCAGGGCAGTGGTTTTGCTGCCAGGTCAGTGTGTGGGGCTGGCTCTGATGTGCTGCCTGTGCCACAGAGGAATTTGTGAGCTGGAATTTGTAATTTTAGCTTGAGAAGGAGCAAACTATCAATTTTATGTGGTTCTTCATCTGTGCTGTTGGGCTTTTCAGCCCCAAAGTGTAAATGTGTGTTTGGTTGAAATGGGATCAGGGTATCAGCCTAGGAATCCCAGAATGGTTTGGGTTGGGAGGGACCTTAAATCTCATCCAGTGCCACCCCTGCCATGGCAGAGACACCTTCCACTCTCCCAGGCTGCTCAGAGCTCCATCCAGCCTGGCCTTGGACACTTGAAGGGCTGGAAAATCCTCAGTTTCTCTGGGAATCCTGTCCCAGTGCCCAGAAGGAAACTTTTGTTTGGAATCCTGAGTCCAGCAGTCGTGTCCACTTGACCCGTGAGCTTCAGTCTGCCTGGCCAGGAGGAAGGGAGCTCATTTCCCCTGCAGGGAGCAGGCCTGTTTGCCTTGCTGCTGTTGGCTCGGGGAAGGCAGGGGTGTTTCCTGTGCCCCAGGCAGGCTGTGCACTGGGACAATGTGCCCAGGCTCGGGGCTGCAGCCGGGGAGCAGGGCAGGGCAGCACGGTGTGTTCCTCTGCAGGAACCTGCTGCTTCCTGTTCCCTCCTCTGCTCAGACCCTGCCTGCTTCCACTTGGCCACACCAGGATCAGCATGCTTGAGACGTGTCCAGGAGCGGTGACAATGCGAGGAAACCTCCACCAAAGGCCATGGGAGCTGGCCAGGAGCAGAGTCCCTTGGGAGGAGAAGGGAGAAGGGTCTTTTTCCTGGCCAAGGAGGCCCTGCAGGGGAAGTGCTGGCTCCTGGGGCTCCTTCCTGGGAAGTGCAGCCTCATTTTTCCTCCTGCTGCATCTGTGGCCTCCCTGTGCCTGTTCTGGGCTCTCCCCAGGCTGCAGCAGGTGCTGGGCTGCTCTCCCAGTCTGCACTCCCTTGGTCTGTCCCTGCCTGTGGCACACATGGCCAGGAATGCTGGCTCAGGTTGGGGTTACAGGATTGTGAGAGTGTTATTTCCTGGTGTCTGCTCCTGAGAATTACAGCAATTTCCCCACAATTAATTCAGCAGTTGAGTTTGGATGTTCAGTTCTCTGTTGTGTGTCTGTGCTTGACTAGATAAAAGTTACTTGTCTTCATCTGTTTCAGTTGAAGATCAGCCTTTTAAATTTGAAAAGCTGTCACCATTCAGGCCCTTATTTCCTTGCTCCTGTTTGGTGCTGTGTCGTGTATCTTTTATCTTGAGCAAAGTTTGTTTAGAGATGAGAATCCACAGAATACCTTTTTTCAGCAAAAATTATCAGGCTGCTACCTTTGTGATACACAGCCCTGGCCTCCTCCTCCCCGCTGGGGTGGATGTGCAGCATTCCAGTGACAGATCCTGGGGCTGTGGTCCCCAAAGTGCTCTGGGCACCTGCAACTGCATTTTTTGGCTTGTGCCTCTGGGTTCATGCAAAGCAGTTTGGGGTGTTCCAAGGATCCCTGTGAAATTTGCCAAATGTGGCCCTTTTGGAGCAGGGTGGGAGAGTGTAAGCAGTGATTACAGCTACAGTTCATTTGTGATGATTCAGCTGAAGGCAAGTGCTTTGCCAGCTCCCTTCCCCTCACTGTTGACCACTGGATGGCTGTTGGGATGGAAGATTCTGGAGGAATAACTAATTTTTCTGCATTTTACTTTCAACTAGCTGCCGCAAGCTCCAGAAACGGAGAGCCCTGTAGAGGTGTGTCAGCCACCTATATTTGTACACACACAAATATTGGTGTTTCACTAGTCCTAGTGGAGTGTCTTGTTGGTAAAAACCCCTGTGAAGTGTGTGTTCTTGCCTGGTGTTAGACAGTGGAAATAAGTAGATTTGTTAAAGTGCCTTAATCCAATACAGCATCAGTGTGGTAGTCTGAAAATATTTTAAAAAATTGTAAACTAATCCTAAGTCTCCTTCTTTCAGCCATTTCCTTTATTCTTTAAGGGTGGCACTGGGAGAAGTCTCCTCTCAAATTTTCCTACATTGGCAAAATGAGATTTCATTTTGGCTCCTAATGCAGAATTTGGTTTTCCCTTTGCCTCACATACTTAAAAACTTCAATACTTTAAGGAAAGGGAAGTTTCTAGTGGAAGCTTTATAACTCCAGAGCAGCTGATGTCCCATTTAAAATGCCCCAGTGGACAAGCTCAGGGTCACTACACTTCGTCAAGGCCACTGGTTGTAAGGGTGATGGATATGTGGAAACATGTCCTTCATGTGCATAAAGCAGATTATTTGCCAAACAGAAGGCAGGAAAATTTATCAAATCTTAAATTCCTTTGAAATTCGTGGGACATCCAGACATGGCATTGGTAGATTGTACAACTGGGTGCCAAATCAGTGCAAATCTAAATGAAACAGCATGGGAGTCTAAATCTGAGAGAATGTTGATTCTCTGAGCTGTGAAGTTTTTATAAATGTGAGATCATGTAGAAAAAGAAGTGTTTGTGATGGTTTAGGCCTTTGTATTTGTAAATTTTGTGGAATAGTGTTTCAATGTAACCTGAAACTCTGAGTGGTCATCGAATGGATTTGAGATGTCTGGGAGATGGCTCCTGGTTTCTGATGGGTCCCTTTATAGAGCTGTTATTCTACACCTTTGGAGATGCCTTAAAGCAGCAAAACCATAATGTGTTTCAGCTTTGCAAAGTGGAAGTTTCATTCCTGGAAGTGAATATCTCCAGTGAGAGGGGTTTGATTTGGAGACGTGCCCAGGGCAGCTCAGTGAGTCCCCAGTGCCATCCTGGCCGTGGGGAGGGAGCCCAGGCTGCGCCAGAAGCCCTCCCCAGTCTCAAATGAGTTTCAGTGACCACGGTGGGATGTGCTGGGGTCCCTCACCCCAGAGTGTGTGTCCAGGGGCTGGGGACAGTGTTCTGTGTGTCTGTGCATGGGCATGCGTGGGCTGAGCCCCCCGAGCTGTGTGGAGCTGTGCCAGCAGGCAGAGCCCGAGTGTTTCCTGAGCACTGCTGGCACTCCTGCATGCCAGGGGCTGTGTGAGGGTGGCAGAGCAGAGGGCTCAGGGCTGGCAGAGGGCAGGTGTCCTGTTCTGGTGGTTTGTCAGTCCATCTCCCCCATCTCCCCCTCGCATCCAGCTGTGACTCCCCAGTATTCCCATGAGTGCCAAGCTGTTGGTCTCTCTTGAGTGTTGTTCTGCTTTAAAATGAACTTTCTGCACGTGCAGCAGGAGCTTGATCAAACTCTACCCCAGAGGCAACTGGAGGACCATAGAAGGGTATGTACAGCAGTCGAGCACGTTCAGAACCCATCTCTCCCTTTCCCCTGTAAGCAGTGAAGCCTAAGTCGTGTAAGAAACTTGTGTGGTTAAATGCTGGCTGGAAAATCCAAAAAAGGAACCCTATGGACAGAGTGAGGTGCTGGAGCCCCTTCTCTGGGTTACATGGAAGGGATGAGTGCTTGGCTGCTCCAAATTGAACTCAGGTCCTGGTCTGGTCCATTCCCACTGTCCAAACCTTCCCTGTGGGTGCTGATCACTCTGCTGTGAGGTGACATCCATCAGTGCTGCTGGAGCTGGCTCCTCTGGCCACACCACCCCTTTCTAGCCAGCCAAGCTGCAAAAGCAGCATCCTTGGTCCCTTTCTCCATTTCTTCTGATCTTGTAGCTGGGAACACAACAACTTATAACTGCTTCACTCTAAAACACGAAAGATGCTCTGTTTTAAAGCTTCTAGCCGGTTTCTGATATCATTTAGAGTTGTGTGTTGCATCTGCATTGCTGATGCAGGTACAGGGATATTTCTGTGTGACTAACTCTTACCTTACCTGGTGTGAATGCAGATGGAACTGGACGCTGTTGGGTTTTTCCCTAGGTACCATATTTGATTTTTCTGGTTAGTGCCAAACATCTGATATTTGTTTGCACACTGCCCTCGTCAAAGTGGTGCACAGCACTAACAGGATGGTTAAAGAGCTGTTCTGGAGCCAAGCATTGCAGCTGAATTAATTGGAACATTTCTTAAATACCACTTATTTTTTCTCCCTTCTGGTTTGATTACGTACTCATATTTTGTTAGCTGATACCATGGATTTGGGTGAATTTGTAGGAACCAAAGCTTTTCTTCCCAGTTAGAGCTTGAAATGCTGGTGACTGTGTGTTGCCAGACCTGGATCAGCACACTCTGACTAGAAACAACTGCTTGATACTTGTTCCTGCTGTGTTTTCTGGTGATTTGCCTTGTTTTGGATACACAACACCTACAGACACCACAGGTGCCTGTCCTGCTCAGGTCTCCACTCACCCCAACTATTTTGACCATGGAACAGAAGTCACCTCCTGCTCCACAAGGGGCCAGAAGGAGAATTTGGGGGCAGCTCCAAGAGCTTTAGTTGCCCTCCTGAGTTCAGGCAAGGTGGAGTTTGCTGAGCAGCTGTTCTCGAGGCTGGATATGTGTTATCTTTGTAGTAAGTCGTAAAAACCCCTGGTTTGAATGCCTTTTGACAGGATGAGTGCCAGTTAGCTCAACAGAGGAGGAAGAAGGTGCTGTGAGAGCTCCCTTGTAGCCTTTTGTGTCCCAGGGCCCATCTGGGTGCCAGGCTGCCTTTCCAATCAGTGCACATGTCCAGGGAAGATGTAGTTCAGGGGGTTTTGTCTGGCTTGGCCTTGTTCTGTCATGCAGCCTCTCTCAGCTGCCAGGCTGGGAGCAGGGCAGTAGATCCAGCCCTGCCTCGTGCACTGAACACTCTCATGTCACTGTCTAACTCAGGAGCTGCTCCAGGACAGGGATTGCTGCAGCTCCTGAGCTGTCTCCTGCCTCTCCCACATGTTCTCTTTGGCCCAGGCAGTGATGAGAAGCGTGTGCCCCTTGGAGAAGTGCTCATCTCCTCCTGCTGTTGCTTCCACGGGAGTTTTCCTTTTTTTCTGCTGTTTCGGAGCTTTTGGAAGCAGCTGGTTGGAACACTGACTTTGTGTTTATTTTGCATCCTGTTCCCTGACACTTGCTCCCTCCCCATCTATCCCATGAAATGCAGCTCCTGGGCTGCAGCTTTCACACTGAGAATCCCCAGGAACCATTTCTAAGCTGCTGGATGTGGTGACAGGGTGGCAGTGGGAGCCCTGGCTTGAGCCCAGCCCTGTGGGGAGGGCAGAGATCCCTCACCAGCTCTGGCATGTGTTGGGCTTCTCCCTGTGGAAGTGATTTCTGACATTTGGTAAAGAACTGGATTATCAGATAGGCTTTTGTCTTTTTTGTTTTTTCTTTTGGGTTATAAGGATCTTTTGAAGTGACCTTTGTGAGTGCCAGCTGTGTATAAAGTCAGTGGGACTGCAGCAGGGCTGGAGTTCTGTACAAGCCAATTAATGCACATTTATGTCATTCCATTTACTTGTGTTTTAAAGGCCTCTTGTGAAATTTTAGAGTAAGACTTCTTTTTTATGACAGCTAATGTATTAAATGACATCTTGAATCTATAGTCAGACAACCAATTTCATTTGAAATACGACTGAAGAATCAATAAATTGGTGATGAGCACTTTTTGTGAATGGAACTAAAGATAAGATGCTTTAGTTCATTGGACATTTTTAATAGGAAATTATTTTTGGCTAAATTCTTTAAAATTTATTTTTTCTGACTCCCCAGAAAAGCCCTTCCCTCCCCTTTGCAGCACTGTCCCAGGATGGAGCTGCTGTAACCACGCTGCCATTAGCAGGGCAGGAGCTCCCAGTGACAACAATCCCTACAAAAATCCCTTCATCCCTGTGCAGGGTTTGTGTGCTGGCAGTGCCTCCAGCTTTGTCCAGTTTCCCCGATCCCAGGGAATCCCTGTGGGGGCTGCAGTGGCAGCAGTGGGGTGATGTTCCCCTGGAGGTGTTGGATCTCTGCTGGCTCGCGCTGGGGCTGTGCCAGAGCTCTGGGGTTTGGGGTTGTGCTGGGCTGGGAGGGCTGGCGTGACTGGGCAGCTGCCAGCAGGGAACAAAGAGCCAGGATCCAGCGGGATCACTTGGGTTTCTGTTCAGCAGCTGATGGGTCCTGTCAGCTGCTGGTGGAGGGAATGGAGCACAGCCCTGCAGGGTTGGTGGCATGGCACAACAGGAGAGGTGTGAGGAGATTAAACTGTTCCTTAAAACCATTTCTGGTGTTCCTCTAATCCACCTCTTGATTTTCTTTTGGTGCTCTACAGATGCCACTCCTTTGCATTTAAGACCGAGACAGTAGAACTTAATTAAAACGAAACTCTCGGAAAATTAAATCTGTCTAGAAAGCTGTACACAAAACCTGAAGTGCAGCTGTCTGTGTGCTGCATGGGGGAACCCATAATCTTATTGAGCCCCATGAGACCCCTGCAGTGTCCCAGCCCATCAGGAGGATCAGTGGATTTCTCCAACTCTCCAGGGTTTCATTCCCCCTCCCTCACCACACGAAGGGTGCTGGTTAACAGTGATGAACACGTGTGGCTGGCTTGTTCGCGGCGCTGCCACGGTGATTTCCCTGTGCTCTTTGCGTGCAGGGCGAGGCCCTGAGGCAGGTTTTGGTGAACCGCTACTACGGCACGGTGCGCGCGGCCGGCCGGCGCGAGAGCCTCACCGCCTTCGGCAACGGGCCCCTGGCCACCGGCGGCCCCGGCAAGGCTGCCACGGCAGGTAGGACACGCTCTGCCCCTCACGGCTACCTCCCGAGGGCGTCTGGGGGTGGGGGTGTTCACAGGGGTCCCATGGTGAGGGAGTCTCAGGGTCTCTAAATGCTCACAGTGACCCCCAAGATGCGTTAGAAAGTCTCTTTCCCAGCCCAGCGCTTGAAGAAGGAGTCAGAGCTTTTCATTTCTCAGTCTCAAGGTTGTTTGTTATATCTTATCTATAAAACTCTTTCTCCTGTCCCGCCAAGATCCGCTCAGCAGGACAGACAGAGGCGCACTGCCTGCCCTGGGCAGTGTTATCTTTTATACTAAAAACTGCACGTACAATATTTACCATAACTTCCCAATACCATGCCATGAGCAGGGACTCCATCCACTATCTCAGGTTCCTCATTAATGGAATCACAGGATGGATTGGGTTGAAAGGGACTTTAAAACTCATCCTGCCATGATCAGGGACCCCTTCCACTATCTCAGGTTCCTCATTAATGGAATCACAGGATGGATTGGGTTGAAAGGGACTTTAAAACTCATCCTGCCATGATCAGGGACCCCTTCCACTATCTCAGGTTGCTCCAAGCCCTGTCCCCCTGGCCCTGCCATGCCCATGGGGTCGGTGCCATCCTGTTTGTCCTGGTCACCTTTACAGGAGGAAGCTCTGGCTCGAGCTCCATGAGCCGAGGGGAGATGAGCCTGGCAGATGTGCAGTGCCACCTGGATAAAGAAGGTGCTTCCAACCTGGTCATAGATCTCATCATGAATGCCACCAGTGACAGAGTCTTCCACGAGAGCATCCTGCTGGCCATTGCCCTGCTGGAAGGTGGGAACACCACGATACAGGTAGGGAAATGGAAAACTCCGTCTTGTGACTGAGCCCTGTCGGGAAGGGAAATGTTTTTATGAAAGCCAGGAAATTTGAGAGGGTTAAGGAGACGGGAGGGGAAATTATCTGAATGATCTTTGGCCTGTAATTAAGGGAAATATTAATGTCTGCCATGCAAAAGTGAACTTATTGGATGTTTGCACGGGCACTGAGTATGTGAGGTGTTTTTCCAGGGCAGTATAGAGGAATGTGAAATAAAACAGCTTTGTAGATAAGTTATTGACTGCTCTTACAAATAACTTAAGTAACTGTAACGTGCTCAGAGACTTTTGCAATGAGCTGTTCAATTTCAGACTGGAATTTGACATAAGTGTTTGGTAAACTCCAGACCACCACCATTCTCCAGCAATCTCACTGTTCTTCCTTTGTGTGTTTTCAATAAGGATTAGGTTCCCCTATAAGAAAATTGTCCCTGGTGTGGATTAATGAACACACACCAGCGAGCTCTTACACTCTTCCAAATAGAAAGTAAAACCTTATTACAGCAGAACTTGCTTACAAAGATGATTGAATCTGTGATATCTTATTTGTTTAGCTCTGCACATGTTGTGTTTGCAGTCTGTCTGTGGGGCTGATCCTGACCAGTTGTAAGTGATTGTTGTGCTTCAAACACACACTAGATCCCTACAGCAGCACCTCCTGTGTCCATGCAAACTTCTCCTGAGAAAACAGGGAATGTCTCTGGGCTCCTTCACTCTGTCTCTGTAATCAGTGCCCTCATTAATCCCCTGTGTATAAGCTCTGGAATGAAACTTCTTTGCAATGGATAAAATAGGAATTGAGTGTTGAAAATCCTGTGTCACCTTAAACTGCAATGACAGGATTAACATTCCTGGGGGACAGTCACTCCTTTAAGTTTCCTGCTCTTCTCTAATGTAAAGGAAGCTGAGCTTTCATCCTTGCAGCTCTCAGGGAGCCTCAGGTAACCTCTCACTGTCATGCTGGAAGGAAAAACAAACTGCACCAGCCTGACATGGAGAGATCCTTGGCTTGTCCTGGACCACAGTGCTAAAGGATTGGGCAGAGTCACTTCCACAGTGCACAAATCCATGTTGGAAGCAGATTCCTTAGCCCACCCACTGCAAACCAACAGGAAAATCTGCAGTCCCTCTCCAAAGACACCCTTTTACCCAAAAGGGAGGCAGTTGATTTGCTTTGCTGTCTGTGAGCAGGAGCTGGCAGGCTGTGGAATAGCCCTGCGGTCAGGAGCGATGGATGGCTCTCAGGGCAGGGGCACTTCCACCCCACACTGTGCCCTGCTGCCAGGCCCTGCTGCACTCCAGCCTCTCCAACGTCCTTCCACAGCCAGAGTGGCTGCTTTCCATCCTTCCCAGGCAGGGATAAGTGCAGCCAGCAGTCCCTGGGTGCGTGCTCCTGCAGGATGGGCTGGGAGGGGGCTCTGCTGCAGTGTGGGCTGCTTTTAAGTACAGAATGTTTTAGGAACCAAATGACTTGTGATGCCTACAGCTAATGCTAGGAGCTCTGAGGGCTCGGACACACCCAGCAGCTCTTACTCATGCACGCAAAGCACGAAGGGGATGTTATTGAAAATATCCCATGGAGCCGTTGGGATGTGCGTGTTCCGTGCTGCAACACTCCATGGACTTCACAGCAAACAGCAAACAAGAAGCATGGTCAGTGCACAGATGTGTTCTCTGGCTTTCCTCCACGCTGGTTAAACTCCTGGTGGTAGGGAGAGAGTTCTCTGGTGCCTTGCAGTGGCTCCAGCACATGGGGGCCCGTGGGACGCTGGCAGTGGCAGCTGGGAACAGCCTGTCCTCAGCACTGTGAGCTCCCAGGAGAGCTCCAGTGGGGAAAACACCAACCACAAAGCTTGACTTGTGGAGAACAGCTGCCTCCACTCTGGGAATGAAAGCAAAGGTGGAGGCTTGCTCTTTAGTAAAATCATGAGTTCAGGGCTGTATCTCCCAGGCTAATTGCTGAGGGATGGGATGGCCAGCTTAAACTGATATCCTGAGACAGGGAACTCGTCACCAAGCTTTGCTGTCCACACATAGGAAGAATGGCTCACAATGCAGAGGGCCCTGGTGCAGCCCAGCTGCCCAGGAGAGCCGTGTGGGTACTTGCTAATCTGCAAAGCTGATTGGTTTTGTGCAGCAGCCTTTGGCTGTGACACAGTGAAGATTCACTGAGTGCAGCAAAGTGATGGTCTCCCCTTAGCAGGAATTCATTTTTACAAAACACGCTGCAAGATTTGGCTGCTTGTGGAAACAAGATGCACTTGGGAAAATTAACCTGATCCTTCCCTTGTGTTTTATCCCGATCTCTCTAATGTTCTTTGATAAGTTTTGCAGAGCGGGTAGGTAGGGCTTGGCAACCTCTGCAACTTGCAGAGTGAGTTTTCTGCAGTTCTTCTGCAGTTTCCAGTAAGTGCCAGTGCAAGAGTCATCCCCAGTCTCTGGGCCAATAACTATGTTCATTTTGCATCAGATGCACTTCTCATTGGGAAAGTCGACGTAGCCAAACCAGCCAGCTTTGTCTTTGAGGTCTAACAGAGTTTATCTTCATTTAACAAAATTTTGTTGTTATTATTAGCAGCTTTTGATTGATAGTGTTCCAAACAAGTTTGTTCTGTGCTCAGTTTGAATAATTTCTACTGAACTTCAATTGCCTCTATCTACAGGCCTTTGAGAATAGGAAAGTGGTGGGGTAGGGACAGGTTATGTAAAAAAGGCTCTTTGGCAGCAAAGCCAGAAATGTGTCACCCCTGCATGGCGTTTTCTTAACTGCAGGTTTTCACACGGGAAATTGATTCCGCCCGGAGTGCAGCAGAAGGTTTGTACCAACACACAGGAACTGGCACATGATGATTGTAATATGGTTAATAATGGGAGTTCCCAGGTAACTCCCATGAGCTTCAGTGGGAGAGCACATCCCCATGATGCTGGGAAGGGATAACTGCAATAGGTGTTGCTGTTTCATTAGGTGCAGGCAGGGCCAGTATTAAGGGTAGGCAAAGTAGGTGGTTGCCAACTCCAGCAGAAAAGCAAATCTCGAAGCGTTCCTTATTGTAATTGGTAGGAGGGATTTTTATTGTATTGTTAAGAAAATGAATGTGGGGGAGAAGCAGGACAAGAGAAAAGGCTCCTGGTTCACCTGAGGAAGGAGGCTGAGCTGCTGGTGTGTGGCACCCTGGATCCCACGCTGCTCCGTGTTTTGCTGCAGGGGTGAATGTGAATGTGGCAAATTAGCCCTTCTGGGAAGGGCTTTGCCCGCTTCCAGCTCTCTGGGTGGAAACTTTCTGGGCTTTAGCTTTTGGAATTCGCTTAGAAACACTGTCAGGTTCTTTGGGAGCAGGATGGTGGTGACCTTGCGGTGGCTGTCGCTCCGGCTCAGCAGGAGCCCTGGGTTTCAGTGGAAGCCTGCCCTCGTTTGCACAGAGACAGAAGCAGAGGTGGAGCCACGGGGTCAGCACCAGACAACAAATTAACTTGACAAATGCTGCGACTCACTGAGCTGCAAATTACATCAACCCCTTTATTAATTTATATAACCCTGAGCATCCCCCTGGGGAGCGCTGGCTCAGCGCTTCTGAGCAGCCCTGGGGGTGCCCCACGCTCTGCTCCAGAGGGTGAGGGCTGAGCCTGCCCTGCTCCCTGGTGCCAGTGCCTGGCTGCTG